ACCTGCTACCTGCTACCTACTACCTATTACCGCTACTATTACTACTACTACTACTACTACTACTACTACCACTACCACTACTACTACTACTACTACTACTACTACTACCACTACTAGTACTACCACTACTACTAGCACTACTACTAGCACTACTACTAGCACTACTACTGGCACTACTACTACTACTACTACTACTACTACTACGACTACGACTACTACTACTACTACTGCTACTACTACGACTACGACGACTACTACTACCACTACTACTACGACGAGTACTACTACTACTACTACTACTACTACTACTACTACTACGACTACTACCACTACTACTACAAGTACTACTGCTAGTGCTTTTGCTACCGCTACTAATAATGCTGCCCAACCTTCCTTTTCCGCCAGAGGCTTTGGAGATGCATTGACGGCGAATGCATCGAAGTGGTCGAGGTCCCTTTGTTTCGAGACTGACGTCTGCGAACTACCTCGCCCTTTTTACGAGCCACCTGAGTAATTGATTAGTTCGCCAATGTTATTCTCCCACTGGAGTCTCCATCAGTCTCGTGGTTTCAGCCGCAACCTTGCATAATCAATTAACCTTATTTGGCTGCAGGGTTTAGGAGAGCCTCAGGTTTTTGATGTCACAACGAATTGTCAGCCTCGAACCTAGAAAGGTTTAGACATGCATGTAGGAATCTGGCCGGGCTGCGCCTGCCCGTGCAGGATGCACATGCTGGCTCCGTGAACAAGCACCTTGGAAAGACATGCTACGTGTATCCCAAGCCTTTGTCAAACCTTGACGCCCTAATTACACCTCCATCACCACGTACGTGTCCCTCGAAGTGCCCACCCAGACCGAAAGGCTCAGTATCCCTGATTGCAAGTGCTTGGCTGACTTGGCTTCCAAAAGCTGTCACGCAATTCGGATGGATTCATGTTTCCATGGGATTATTTCGCAACACCTGGCTTTACGTCGTTGCTTTGCATGGCAGTCCGTGTGGCAGTGATACTACCAGGCTGGCGGTGGTGAAGTGCTTCGTGTGGTCGGCTGGTGCAGACGGGCTGATCAAGGCTTGGCGTATTTGTGTGCTACCAGTAACTTGTTTTGATTTGTTACGCTAAATGTCATATGTGTATTTTCCAACCATGCGCAAACATGTACAAGGAAACGCACATATGCACACACACACACATGCACGTGCAGACATCACTCGAAGTATCAAGTTCTGTATGCACACACACTATACTGCACCTCATTCGGCTCGTAAACCGTGCTTTGCATGTGTACTAGACGGCTTGGTGACCGTTTCTCATGTCAATACTTGTTCAGTCAGGAGCATGGGGCCTCATGCTTGTATTAAACTGAAGCCGAGCGACTCCAGGAATGGAACATGACTGGTGATCAGCGCGTGTGTCTCCGTCAAGTCGCACCGCCCGGAAGTGAAAAAGGCAGCTGGGTGGGCAGCTTAGGGATGCTGTGCGTGTTGGAGGAAGCCCCGGCTGAGCCCTTGCAGCGAGTCATAGCCGGAAGAAGGACTTCGACACCAATAACTAGGGGACACTGGTCACTAGTCTCAAACCACTTTGCGCATGCACCAAGATCCAGTCTTCGCGCAGTTGGGGAGAGGGGTCAAAAGACTTTAGAAAGGATCACAGAAAATTTAGCAAGGATCAAAAAAAAACAAAGGATTATCAGAAAACTTTGCATTTACGAGATACTTTGTGGATTTGCTGGCTTGGTGGCCTCCGGCTTCTGGGCTTCTCAGCCTCCCTTCTTGGCTTCTGCGCTTCTGGGCTTCCTGGCTTCTTGTGGCTTCTTGGCTTCTAGGCTTCGGGGTAACGTGTGTAGCACTTCCGGGCCTTGTCGGCTTCCTGGCTTCTTGGCTAAACCTCATATCTCCGAGCTGCCACTGGTAGGGGCGGCGCCGTTCTTGGCTTCTGGTCTGCTTGGCTTCTGGGCTTCTTGGCTTCTGGGCTTCGTGATAACATGCGTACTATGACTGGGCCTTGTCGGCTTCTTGGCCTCGCAGACTCGCGGCTTCTCGACACTCATCATCGAAGCCTCGCTGGCCGTTTTTGGGCAGGATGATGGTGACGATAGGATTATGTTGGTGATGATGATATTGATGATAAGAAGGTGGGTGATAGTGTCGGCCAGAAAGGTAATCAAGAGTGCTGTGATTGATTGTGATGATCATGGTGATGAGAAGTAACAGTATTGGAGTAGCGCAGCCTTTGAGTACAGTGTCTATTCTTTCTGTCAGTTCTAGTATTATGATCTGATTGTAAAATTGTGGTTTTGTTTATATTGTCTCATAGTATGTTAGTGTTATTACAATCATGTGATTACTATTATTTTCATCTTTATTATTCCTACTATCTCCCATGGGAATCATTATGATTACTCTAAGTGCTGTTACTACTAGTAGCTGTATACATACACACACATATATATATATATATAGCTATACACATATATGTGGTAACCCCGTGTATATACAATATAAAGCGCATCTACCAGCATGTAACATAACTACAGTATCTCCGCCGTGCAAACCTCATATCTCCGAGCTGCCACTGGTAGGGGAGGCGCCGTGGTAGAAGGGTGGGTGTCAGCGACGAGTTGGGCACGGCCACCGCGACCCCGCCATGAAGCAGAAACACAGATGGTTGCGTGAGTCTCCAGGACCCATTCTTCAGTACCAAATCTGAAAGTCCCATCGCCACAGAGCTAGCGGTCCCAGACTTTTCTGGGATTGGCACCATAGTTTCGCACAGTTTTGACGCGGAAATATTGGAATAGCACTTACCGTGCTATTGTTTGCAGCAGATCCCCAAACCAAATCTTTTTTGTCCTTCCCAAATCTTTATTTGATCCGTTCAGCCTAAAGTTTTTGATGTTTTTAAAGTTTTCTTGATCCTCCACCCCGCAGTTGTGGGACTTCGAATTTGTCTCGACGAGTACTCCGCAGCGAAAACATCTACACCCACACCCGCAAAATGCATTTCCAGCAGGCATCTATGCCCTGCTTCCACTCGGCCATGATGTTTGGGTCTGCGGCCACCATCCGTCCATCCAGGTGTATTCCCAGAGGGACATGGCAGCTGGACGGCATCCAATGTTTTGGGTATTCTGTTTGGGCGCCTTCGAAATTGGTTCCAGCTGAAACCTTTTTCAAATCACACAACCTGAAAGCAAGCTCCACGATTGGCCTAGGCCCCCAGACACCCCGGTTTCTCAGAGGCCTACAAGAGCTGAGAGCGATGTGGCTCGCCCTTTCTTGTTGTCAACTAGTCTGATCGCCGAGCCTTAAAGCCCGCGTCTCCGGGTAGAGGTCGGGATTTTGGATTTCAACTGTTTGCCTTCGACCGCAGGCCCAGACCTCCACGGAGGCCCGGGAAAGGGTTGGAATTGCTCTGGCGGAAATGCCCTGGGTCTTGAGTCATGGAGAGGTCTATGGTCTGAATTCTTGGCTTCCTGGTCGAAGGACTTGGCGCTCGAATTTAATAATTCTTCCGACGCCCGATGTTTCAGAATCCAGGAAGTTCATGACAAACCATGCTTCGACAGAGTGCCATCCCACTGTTCCAGTAACTTGTCTCCTCTGAAAACCCTCCCACAACGGATCAGAGACCAGGATGGTCACAAGCCCTACGTGTCCAACCTCATTGGAGTGGACAGGGTCGAATCCAAGCGCCGTGATCTACAGTGGCAGGGAGTTTCTGTGGGCTTGGCTCTTAGGCTCCAAGCCTGATCAGAGTTGGTGGGAATCGTTGCGGCTCTATCTAGAACTTGTAGAGCTTTGTGTACTATAGTTCTCCGTGTGCACGGGACATTGCATCGATTCAAGCCCTGTCGGCAAGAGCCCACATCCGTTCCACACAATGCATCAAGTACCAGTACCAAGGCTGAAATCATAAGTACCTCCAGGATCCACGAGCTGCTTGAGATGGAGAGAATAAGAGAGCTGGCATCCCAGGATTATTTGGAGCACGTCGTTCGGCGATCGCAAGCTGATATTCGGCGCAAGTTCTGCCTTTGTGTGCCGCAATGCAGGTTATGTTAGACTTGGCCCCCTTCTGCCATGTCGTTTTCATGTCATCAACCAGGATGCAGGGCCTGGCAGCCGATGCACCGAGAACTTGTGCTTCGCACTGCTCCTAACATAATCTACGGTGCTCATACAGCCCTTGCACCATCTGCAGCCAGGAAAGTCTGGCGCCACACGGTTCGTGGCGAGGAGGCTTCAGTTGACGAGCTGACGCTCAACTTTACTGTTGATCTGATATGTTCCAGGCCGTGAGCGACACACCTAAAGGCCTGAATCCTACATTTGACTACATGCACCAAAACCATTGTGCTTGTTGTCGTTTTGTTGTTGTTGCTGTTTCTCTTGCTGTTGCTCTTGCTGTTGCTGCTGGTGTTGCTGTCGTTGTTGTTGTTGTTGGTGGTGGTGTTGTTGCTGCTGCTGCTGCTGGTGTTGTTGGTGTTGTTGTTGCTGTTGCTGTTGCTTGTTCTTTTTGTTGTTGTTGTTGTGGTTGTGCTT